AAGACGCTACGAACGGGGCTCCTGGCCTTACTACTAGGAGCAAGACGCTACTAGGGGCTCCTGGCCTTACTACTAGGAGCAAGGACGCTATTAGGTTGGAGGCCATCTCTACTAGTAAGGTTTCTACTAGCTTCTTGTTACTACTAGTAAGGCACTTGTTACTAGAAGCGATGCACTTGTTCCTAGTAGCTTCTTGTTCTCTAGTACGATTTCAGACCCAGCACGCACTGGATCACACTGACAGACCCTGTTTTTTTTTCCGCCCTGGGCGGCCTTTGCGGCTCTCGCTGACCCGATGCGCTCGTGCGTGACCCGGGCGGCCTTCGCCAAAGACGAGGGGCTCTTCAAAGCAGCGAAGGTGCATCGCTAGTAGTAACACGTGCCTTACTAGTAGCGAAGGTGCCGAAGTGGTCGACGTGTCGAGGGAGATCCCTTTTGATCGGCCCAGGTTTGAACTGCCAGTGGCGTTCCTTCTATTTCAAGACACTTTCCTCGTCTGTTTGCAAAATACGGAAGTTGAACACATTTTCCTCTACAAAGTGGGTTTGTTCTACTTCGACTTCCATATAGCGGTTGCATGGAGGGCATTTAGGTTCAACCAGTGGCCTCAAGGTCGATCTCTGTTGAGCAAGTGATGTTTGTTTTTGACGCTCGCAGACCAGTTGATCATAGACGTGTTGGGAGTTCTCATTTCGCGCTAGGGATCGGAGGCCAACTTATGAAAGCCCTCGCAAGGGTCATTAGAAGAACACACTGCCTGCAACCTTAGAAAATGAACCAGAGGTTCCGTGATTAAATACTGTATTTGGATTCATTTCCTAGCTGGGCAGTGGAATCTAGATGAATCTAGTACTATTGAGCACGTCGATCGTTTGATATCATTCAAGTTCTTCAACCTCTACAAGTGTTGATTCTTTCAATCCAGGGGCATGTTGAGAAATAGGAGGTTGGAGGCCATTGCTAGTAGGTTGGAGGCCATCATAGGCCATCGCTATTGGGTTGGAGGCCATCTAGAGGCTGTTCAATCTGGTGAGGTCAGCTCGACAGCTCCAGAGTGCCCCAGGAAGGGAATTGGCGACCAACCTGTGGTGTACCACCCTGTCGGGTTACTTTTTTTCATGAAACTTGCTCTGATTTATTGGCTCACGGTTCTCTGGATTTTTTAGCTCGATGTTTGACAGATTTCTTGCTGAAACTCAATTACCAATGTTCTACTTATCTTGACTTTCTGAAACGTTACCCGTGTCCAATCTTGTCCAGCTGGAGATCAATTAGTTGAACTACCCCGGATTCAACAACTTAACAATTCCAGGGTAAAGGGTACATTTTCTGCGTAAGATTGAGATGATGAAGAACATATACTCCCAAGTCCTGCAAGGGCAGGGCTGCTCAACTTATTTGTTTTCGCACGGACAGGGAACTCGAGTGAATTTGAGTCTGAAAACGACCCAAGCTTCCCCAGACCCTGACGGCCGTGGGAGACACCGGCTCTCTCCAGGCCTGGCAGGTCTTGTCGAATCTCTTGGCCAGTCCAAGTCATTTCGACCTGGAACTCTATGATTCCTTGCCCTCGGTTGAAGGGACTGAAACTTGGGATGTTCTTCTAAGTGGTTGGGAAGAACGCAAGTGTCTGTGGGCCGGGGCTCTAAAAGATTGAAGCTGGTTTCTCCCTCAAAGTGCATTCTGTTCATTTTGCTCAACCAGCAGAGCACTATGAGGTTGGAGGCCCTCGCTAACAGTAGGTTGGAGGGGAATCCTCAAACCCGACGCCACGTTCGCCCGTATGGTTTCGATTTCTTCCAGGTCTCCCAGCCATCCGTGTGGGAGTACCGTGTCGACTTGCCCATTCGGCCCGAAAACGATCTTGCTCACAGTAAAAGGGGCTTGCCATTTGTCAGCCAAATATCAGTTCCCTTGAACCCTTCCAACAGGTGTTTCGTGGTGACGACAGGTGCCCAGAATGGGAACGGATAGACAGTTGTTGTACCCGCTAAACATGTATATCAAGAGGAGGTTGTTCCACAAAACATGTCCTTCTGTCCCCTACCTTAAACTTGTTGCTGGTCTTCTTTACGGATATTTTGTTCCCCTTTGGCCTACCATCCGGTCTGATGGTTTCTACGTTAGAAGACGCCTCTGAGGACACTTTCATCAGCCACTCTTGGTCATGTCCCGCTTGGATGAAATATTTGGGGATTTGCTACTACTTGAACTTGGACCTGGCGGTTGAAGCATCGACTTTGGCATGTGTTCTGGCCGTTTCCATGCTCCTCTTCCGCTCGTCTGGATCCATCACTGTTGTAGCGCAGGAAGGGCAATTTTTGCTCATGGGCGCCTTGATTCTTTTCCCCGTGGCCATGTTTCTTCTCATCTTCTTCTTCGGGCAGTTTTTTTGCCAACAGTCCTTCTGGTTTGACCGAATCTGTGTGAACCAAGCGCACTCTGCGGAGAAAGCAAAGACTTTACAAGGGATTCCAGCCTTCGTGGCACACTCTCAACAGATGCTGGTGCTTTTGGACTCCACGTATTTTGAGCGATCCTCAGAATGCAGAAGTTCTGTGTGGGATTCTCATGATATTTTGAGGCGTCTGGTTTTGTCAACGGAGCTTCCACTTGTCAAACCCTCTTGCAGTTTGCTTTGCAAATTCAACTGGGCAATCGACACTGTCTGTGTTTGTTCACACATAGACTCGTTTCCCCGAAGAAATCTCCAAAATGCCTACGCCTCTTTGCAGAAGAAGGTGCGTTCTTGATCTTGCACCAACTTCCAGAAAGTCAGCACCAGACTTGGCACCAAGAACCCTGTTCGCCTGAAACCACCATCGAACAAATTGCACCTGACCGGCTTTGGCACTAGCTTTGGTACCAGCTTTGCCTATTGTGGATGTTTTGGGTGCTCCAGAGACTATCGGGCGATAGTCGAGATTTGCCCCACATTTTTTTGTGGACCTTCTTCGTCTGCGGGTCGACGATCTCTCATAGAGTGCCTGTTTGGGGGCCCGACTTGGTTTTTGTCTCTCGCTCATCAGGATTGTGGTGCAATTACGAAGTGGCGATCGCGGCAAAGACTTTCAGAAATATCCAGTTGGTGCCTGTTTGGGAGCCAGTGTTCACCCTAGGGCTATTTGCCATCGGTCTTTTCGGTGTTTCTTGGGACCAATGATCGGCTCTCGGAAGGGTTGCAGGTTTTCACCGGACTGGAGCCTCAGCACCTGGTGGTTGCATCATTTTGCCATGCACCCAGAAACATGGCTCCATAAGGCAGATGAGGTGAAGGTCGGTACACTGCAGCAGTCGATCCAAGCAACCCATAACTTAACTAGCTTGTAATTGTGGTGCCGGAGAGTACTCTGCACACCACGCTGTCACCACATCTCCTTATTCGGTCCGTTTCGCGCAAGTTTCGTGGCTGGCCAGGCCAGTTGACAGATTGAGGCTCTCTCGTATTTTGGAGCACCAGAGGAACCCCGCATCGATGCAGATGGAGACTTGCGGAGCTCTCTGTTTCAAAGTGTGGCTGGGTTTTCTCGGTTTGGAATATATGTGTATATGTATATATAAAATTTGGCATTTGTCAAACCTTTTTAAACGTGATAAATAACATTTAAAGGACCATTTAGATCACCAACTAGGTGGTGATCTACTACTATGTTCCCTGGTACATCTGCTTGTGCTTGGCACTTCCTACGGCCTGGCTTAGCTCTCAGAAGTTGGCTCATCACAAGCTTCTGGGCCGCGTTTGTAAGTCAATCCTGGTCGGACCCGGGTTGGGCGGATTCAGCAAGGCCTGTGGTTCAATGAGTACGGTTTCTTAAAGCTACTAGTAACAAGTGCATCGCTAGTAGCTTCTTACATTGCCGCCCCGAAGACTTTCGGTGTATCCGTTGAAAGAGACGAACAGAAGAGAGAAAGAGAGAGAGAGGGTGAATTTGACAAGGATCCTCAGCCCCATAGCTTCTTGTTCTTGGTATATAGCTTCGTGTTCCTAGCAGCCAGGAGCTACTAGTAGCATCCTTGCTACTAGTAGTAATGCCCTTGTTCCTAGTAGCGATGCCCTTTGTTACTAGTAGCTTCTTGTTCCTAGCTTTCCTCCCTGACCGACAGGGTCCAAGCCACACTCAGACTCACGGTGTTGTTCCCTCAGTCTCCCACCGTCTGTGGACTCTTGATCGAAAAGATCCTCCCCGCACAACAACAACTTGGCAAGAACCTCAACAACTCTCAGGTCCAATGCACTTAAGTTTCTCCAAAAATCTAAGAACCAAATCATCAGCGTGAGCTATCCTGCGCCCAGTTACTAGAAGCTAACAAATAGCTAGTAGCGGACTACTCCCTTACTCAATTAAGTAAGCACCTACTTAATGAAGTAGGGGCCGAGGTTGATGCTGAAACAGATTACCAGCTTTGAGCTGCGAGCTGCGAGCTGCGCTTTGGCCTCGGACCGGGAGATCATCGAAGAGCAGATCATGGAGCTCTTCGACGAGGCCTTCGAACCACCAGTGTCAGTGGCGTGGCGAAGTGAGGGAGGATGGCCGTGAGGCGTTTCTCATGGCCTCGTTGTAAGCCACCTGAAGGTGGTAGCTTGCTTTCTTTTTGATTGAAGGATGATTCTTATCACATGTTTGGGTTGATGGAACATGTTTGGTGCTTTGAAGGCCCTTCAGGTGGACAGTAGGCCGGATCACTTTTCCCAAGTGCTCGCTGAATGGCTGGTGCTAAGGGATGCCTATCCTTTGCCCTTTCAAGTCCACAAAACCAATCCCGAATTGGATCCCAAACCTGATCTTTCAGGTTTGCCCTCTGGTCATTTGAAGTAACTTCGTTTTTTTTTGCAAAAAGACTCACATCCCATCTTTTTGCCACTAGGAGCGATCGGATGCTACGAACGGGGCTCCTGGCCGTACTACTAGGAGCAAGTAGCTACGAACGGAACAAGAAGCTACTGGGAACAAGTGCATCGCTTCTAGTAACAAGTGCCTTACTAGTAGTAACAAGAAGCTATTTGGAAACAAGTGCATCGCTTCTAGTAACAAGTGCCTTACTAGTAGTAACAAGAAGCTAGTAGAAACAAGTGCATCGCTTCTAGTAACAAGTGCCTTACTAGTAGTAACAAGAAGCTATTAGAAACAAGTGCATCGCTTCTAGTAACAAGTGCCTTACTAGTAGTAACAAGAAGCTATTAGAAACAAGTGCATCGCTACTAGGAACAAGAGTCGCTACTAGGTTTTAACAACTCCGACGTCCCAGGTGTCCTTTCAGGAGTCGAGCTTCGACGATGGTGGTCAGGCCAGTCAGGTGGTCTCGCCAGAGAGCATGCGTCTCATCCGCCATGTCACCAGCTATCCAAGCAAGGAGGAAGTGATGCAGGAGTTCTGCTGGTGTTTCTTAAGTCAAAGAGGGTGTTTGCCTCAAGCTGGGCGCAAGCTGGGCAAGGCTGTTCTCCATGAAACTGGGCATCCCAGAGCACTAGGTTTGGTTGAGTCGTTGCTGGCCGCTTTCCGGAATTTTGGGGGGGAGTTTGCTGGGATTCCCCCCGACACGGGAATTCCCGCCCTTGCAGGAGTTCAATGCCTACATTCGAGGTCCCCTGCACCTGAAACTGCTGAGCTTGCTTGGCAGTGAGGTGGATGTCCCTTTGAAGCTTTGTGTCATCGGGACGGCGCCTTCCATCCTCTTGTGTCTCACCCTCCTGTTGGGCTGCAATGGCCATCATGATTGTGACACTGCGGCTGCACGGCTGGGCTATCCTTCTGTTACCCAGTACATGCTGGTCAATGTCTTGATCCTTGACCAACCAAATAGCGACGGCCTTTTCCCTAAGAGCGATGGCCTCCAACCTACTACGGTTGGCGTCCACCCTAATAGCGATGGCCTCCAGCCTACTAGGGATGGCCTCCAACCTAATAGCGACGGCCTTTACATAGCGATGGCCTCCAACCTCCTATTTCTCAACATGCCCCTGGATTGAAAGAATCAACACTTGTGGAGGTTGAAGAACTTGAATGATATCAAACGATCGATGTGCTCAATAGTGTCCACTAGATTCATCTAGATTCCACCGCCCCACCACCAAGACCATGCGCTGAACTTGCCGTGTGATTTCGTTCTAGTTTAACTCGAGGTGTCGACCCACCGTTACAAAGAAGCTATTAGAAACAATAAGCTAATAGCTTCTTGTTACTACTAGTAAGGCACTTGTTTCTAGAAGCGATGCACTTGTTACTAATAGCTTCTTGTTACTACTAGTA